CCTGTCTGGGGTTTGTGGTTGTGAATTTAAAGTGATGTTAGTGTGGCTGTATTTTCTCATCCACATGTGTAGATAAGGCAGAGCATTGTTTGTTTGTTTATTTATTTATTTTTTGTCTTTTTGAGACAGGGTCTTGCTATGCAATTCAGGCTGGCCTCTGAGCTCACTTTGTAGCCCAGGCTGGTCTTGAACTTGCAGTGATCCTCCTGCATCAGCCTTCGGAGTACTGGGATTACAGGTGTGCGCCACCATAGTCCGCATGATTAGTTTAAAAAGTGGTAGGAACAATAGTTTGAAAATCTTGATAGGGTCAAATGATAGAGTTTGGGGTGTTGGAAGAGTAGGAAAAGACTGAAATGGTGGGTGGAGGGTGTGGTCTGTGATATGAGATTCAAAGCTGTTTTTTGCCCCCCCACTGGAGAAGAAAGGGAGGATGGTGTGAAAGAGGTGTTGTAGTGTGAAGGCTGTGGGAGAGAAAATAGTTACACCTGAGAGGTGTGTAAAGGAAATAGTGTTCCCATGGAGAAGCTATGACCCAGCAAGATGGTAAAGAACTCCTTTCCAGAAAAGGTTCAAGTTTAGAGATTTTCTGATCTGTGAGGGACAATCATGAGAAAGATTGAAGAGGTGGGGAGGGCCAGAGTTGTGGGTGGAGGAGGAGATGTACCAAGTTACCTAGGGACTGGCTGTTCAGGATGACATTGCCTTGGGAGTTCTGAGCTGCTTCTTGTGGGTGACATGAACAGAAATAAAGGCAAGCTAAATTAAGGCGTTGTGACCCAAGGTAGATTTTGGTACAGTTGGTGTTGAGGAAAGGGAGAGGAGGGATCTTTTTTTTTTGGGTACTGGGAATTGAACTCATGACCTCATAATCTTTTTTTTTTTTTTTTTTTTTTTTTTTTTTTTTTTTTTCCGGTACTGAGAATCGAACTCATGACCTCATGCTTGCCAGACAGGCACTGTGCTGCTGAGCTAAATCCCCAGCCTGAACTCACGACCTCATGTTTGTCCAGGCAGGTGCTTATGCCACTGAGCTACATCCCTGGCCCATTCTTTTTGTTTTTTTGAGACAAAGTCTTGTTATGTAGTCCAGGCTGACCTTAAACTCACTATATAGCCCAGATGAGACTTGAACTCTTGGTGATCCTCCTCCTTTGGCCTCCCAGGTGCTGTGATTACAGGTGTGGGCCACCATGCCTGCCTGACCAAGTCCTGGGTTTTGAGACTAGGGGTCTGAGTCATGATAGAAATAAGGTCTAACAATTGTGGGTTTTAGGAGGGAAATTGTTATGTTCTGGAGTTAAGTGTTGTATGTTAGACTTTTATTTCTCTTCTTCATACTTAAAGTTGCTTCTGGCTTCAGTGTTAACTGGGTGTATTTTATTTTGTACTGTATTATCAGGACCTGGCATAGTGAAAACATTTTATTTGCTTGTTTTTGTTTGTTGTCTTTTTGAGACAGGGTCTCGCTATGCAGTTGAGGCTAGCCTTGACTCTCCATGTAGCCCAGGCTGGTCTCGAACTTGCAACGATCCTCTTGCCTCAGCCTCCCAAGTGCTGGGATTACAGGTGTGCGCCACCACGCCTGGCAGTGAAAACATTTTAGATAATATATGTTGAATTAAATTGAAGAAGAGAGCCCTTAATAGCCTTTCCAATTCTGATGTTCCTTTTTCTTCAGCATTGGAGATTGAACTGAGGACCTTCATGCTGGGCTACAATTTTGAGACAGGGTCTTGCTGAGTTGCCCAGACTAGGTTTGAAAGTGATCCTCCTGCCTGGGGCTCCCAGAGCACTGGGATTACGGGTGTGCACCAATGTACCTGGCTGTAACTAATTTTATATGCTTTGACTAACATATTCCCAGTTGTCCCATCCTCTGGAGACTGTCATTCTATTCTCTGAGATCAACTTTTTTAGATTCCACATATAAATAAAATCATGTAGTACTTTTTTTTCTGTGCCTAACTCATTTTATTTAAGATAATGATCTCTGGTTCCATCCATGTTGTTGCAAATGACAGGATTTCCTTCCTTTTTTATGGCTGAATGTGAATAGGTATGTATAAATACATATATGAGATGTGTATATATATATACATATACATATACACACATATTCTTACTTTTACATCTTTGTTGATGGACACATGGGTTGATTCCATATTTTGGCTGTTGTGAGTAATGCAGCTTGAAAGTGCAAATGTATCTTTGACATAACTGATTTCATTTCCTTTGAAAGTAAACCCATTAGCCAGGCGTGGTGGCACATGCCTGTAATCCCAACACTGGGGAGGCTGACGCAGGAGGATTGTTGGAAATTCGAGACCGGTCTGGACTACACAATGAGCTCAAGGCCAGTCTGAACTGCATAGTGAGACTCTGTCTCAAAAAGACTAAAAAAAAAAAAAAAAAGTAAACCCAGTAGCTGGGTTGCTGGATCATGTGGTAGTTTTATTTTTAATCTTTTAGGAACTTTGTACTGTTTTCCATAACGGTTCCATGAAATTACATTATACCAACACTGTGCAAGGATCCTCTTTTCTCTACCTCCTCAAATGAAGTAGATGTCACCACAAGCAAATAAAGTTCTATAAAATCTAAGAAGTCAATTCTTAACATAATTATAAAGTAGATATTACTGACAAATGTTTGGATTAGTTGGTTTATTTTTATTTTATTTTATTTTATTTTGTCTTTTTGAGACAAGATATTGCTGTGCAGTTGAGGCTGGCCTTGAGCTCACTTTGTAGCCCAGGCTGGTCTCAAACTCGCAACTATCCTCCTACCTCAGCCTCCCGAGTGCTGGGATTACAGGTGTGGGCCACCATGCCCAGCTTTTTGGATTAGGTTGGTTTAGAGCAAGTGCTTCCTTGGAGTCAGTAGAACGGAATTGTTTGAATCTTCACTTTGCTGCTGACTAGATATGTCAGCACTTTCCTCACTCATCAGTTGAGGATAATGAGAGGACACCAGTCACAGGTTTGTGAGGGCTTACTGAGAAAAAACAGCAGATATCTTGGCAGAAGTCTAAATGACTGTTAGCTTATTTTTTATTTTTTTTCTGGTACCAGGAATCAAACTCATGACCTTGTGCTTGCCAGGCAGGCACTGTGCTGCTGAGCTAAATCCCCGGCCCCAACTGTTAGTTTAATGTTAATATTTATTTTATCGTTAGGCTGATATGTTATTTTACTTTTAACAACTAATTAATTAATTAATGCCTGTGCTTTCCTGTTGTCTGCAGAATGGTAAAATTTCCTTACTTCTAGCTATTTGCTGTCTAAATTTTATGTAAGTCATTCCTAAGCTTATGACTGTTAACTTCTGTGATCTTATAAGTGGCATCTTAGAAGAGCAGAACAACTTTATTGCCTTTGCTTTTAAAATCTTCAAATCCTTTTCCTCAGTGTCTTGTTTGATTTTGTTTTGGTGCAAGGCATCAAATCCAGGACCATACACTGTACCACTGAGCTGTATCCTCTACTGACTGTCATTTTTAAGTAGTAACCTGTTAGTATTATTTTTGTATGTATGGTCTTTTTTTTCAAAAACGTGTAAGCCAGTAAACTTAGTGCCAATTGGATCGAATTACCTTTAACAATTTTGAGTTTATGCCTGTCATCACCCATACTAGGATGCAGAGCTGTGTCTATACCCACAGTGTTTGCACTTTAATGGGAGAAATAGGTAAAAGTGTAATAACATGATAATTGGGCCTGTGCTAGCTAAGCTTGGTAGCACAGGTCTGTAATTCCAGCACTCTGGGAGGCTGAGGTGGGTGGATCACAAATTTGAGCCCAGGTTGGGTAACTTGGAGACTTACTGAGATCCAATCTCAAAATTTTAAGAAGTACAAAAATGGGCTGGGAGTATAGGTCAGTGCAAAGGCCTTTTGTTCAATTCCCAGTAGCACAGCAACAATAAAAACAGGTATGTGATATTTATTGTATAAAATAAGTTATGGGGTATGAATTTAATTTAGGTATATATGTATAAAAATAGATTAAAAAGCTAGGCATGGTGGCATATGCCTGTGATCTCAGCACTCAGGAGGCTGAGGCAGGAGGATTGTTGCAAGTTTGAGACCAGCCTGGCTACAAAGTGAGCTCAAGGCCAGCCTGAACTGCACAGCAAGACCCTGTCTCAAAAAGACAAAAAAAAAAAAAAAAAAAAAGAATTAATTCATATTTTAAATCTCTTGGATTTTACCCAATGGTTTCTTAATACTTTACTGATTTTTGTTTGGTAATGAGAGGGTTATATGTACATGTGTGGAATGATGAGCTTTTTGGTTTTACTTTGTTGTGTGGTGCTAGGGGTCAAATCCAGAGCCTCGTGTTGTAGGCAGGTGCTTTAACACTGAGCTATGCCCTTAGCCCCCAGTGATTGTTTTTAAAGCATTGTAAGTATTGTTTTGCAGGGTAAGCCACTTTTTGATTTTCTAAATTAAGAAAAATAGTTTGTTTTTTTTTTGGTGTTGCTAAAGATTGCACCCAGGGTCTCTGACCATGTGAGGCAAGTGCTGTACCACTGATCTACATCCTGACCGTTTGTAAATTTTATTTTGAGACAGGATCTCACTAAGCTGCCCAGGCTAGCCTCAAACTTGAGCCTCCCAAGTCATGAGAATACAGAAAATGGCTGCCAGGCATGGCCACACTCAGTGATTTTATTTACGTATTATTTGTTTTGTTTTTGAGATGGGATTTTACTGTGTAGTTGAGGTTGTCCTTGAACTCTCAATGATCCTCCTGCCTGAGCCTCCCAAGTGCTGGGATTGCAGACATGTGCCACCATGCCCAGCCACAGTATGATTTTTTTTATGGCATTCTGACCAGCTCATTGTAGAAAGGAAAACAGTAAAGCTTATAATTCTCGAACTTAATTAAAGAAAGCAGGTACTTAGCAAATTGGTCTTGTGGTCTGGGCTTAGTAAAGAACTAAAAAAAAGTCTGAAGATACATATATAATTTTTTTTTTTTTTTTGGTTGTATCAGGAATTGAACTCAGGACCTTGTGCTTCCCAGCCAGGTGCTGTGCCACTGAGCTATATCCCCAGCCCTGTATGGGACTATTGAATGGTTTAGAAGGTGAGTTCCTGTTTAGATTAAGTGGAGTATTAATTTTATGTGGTACATTTTTATTTTTATTTTTATTTTTATT